GTTCTCTCTAGTAATATTTCCTATTGATAGATTCAATAAACTTCAAATGTTAAAAAGGTTTTATTATCTTATTTTTGAACAAAATATGATCTCACTATTCTGAAAAAATAAAACTTCTATTTGATCAGCATCTAACTGATCGAACTGTGAGTTCCACATTTTAGCCCCAACGGGGCTGCGCTGACAAGTTTTTTTAACAAAAAATGTTTTTTATTAAAAGAATACGTATTCAAATGAACATTTCATATGAATAAATATAACTTCGTTCGAAATATGATATGTCACTGAAGTACTAGATTTCATTGATAGGATATTTGCGAGTCAAATGACATATGTTTGAAAATAGGTCAAAGATAGTTAGAATACAATGAGTAAAAGCAGATATAGACGCCATGTATTATATATGCTCTATTAGTTTTGATTCAAAAAGCGATTTGATAATGAGTTTCACAACAAATAATCGTTCTTTAACAAACTAAAACTCTATCTAATGGATTCAACTTCGTTTTGCTCAAAATGATTAAAATACAATTCCCATGAAAACTTCTAGGAATTATATGTAGAAAATGAACGTATCAAAACTTGAACATTTCAGTTTAATTGATTGGCATCTTCGAAATATATGATATAACAATTATTTTGCAAAAGTTTTAACTAAAAACTAACTGTTTTTGTATTGCTCTATTGTTAATTATCGTAATGTTGTGCATCTTTTTTTCAAAGTTCTGATAAGATACAGTTCAAACTCAATTAAACATTTGAATATTTAAAATCAGAAAAAAAAAATTAGCTGATTGATATATCTTTCGAAAGTTTTCATTGGAAAAAATATCAGCTGAATCCATTTGTTTACGCTAATGTTTTCGGTAGAAACCGATAACCTAGGTATGCTTCAAGGCATGCTACAACTGAAATCAAGACGACAAATTTTAAAAAGCAGTGTATTTTGCAATACTTCTCGAATCTAAGAATTATTTGAAATAGTTGTCGTTACTGCACATAAATACAAGTTCCTACTAAGTCGATGAATAACAGCTGATTTCGTAGAAACAAAAACGTACAAGCAAAGTTTTCTCGAGCTGTTTTTTAGTAAATTAAGTAAGATTATGTATGAATTCATATTCGAAATACTATTTAGCATGTGATTGTTCAACTATAATTGCCAAAATTTGCTGACACATTATAAAATTTGATAAATAATATGTTCAAATCTATCTTGTGACGACATAGAAATTTGTGCTATTTTCTATTGTATCTATTCTCGTCTGGAGATATATTATCATAGCTTTGCCATTTCGAGTCTTATTCACAGTTCGAAGATGGCTTTCTGGCAATAGAATATTGCTGAGCAATTCCATCGTCCCTACAAACCACTCATTTGCAAAACGATGTTTAATATTGTTATACACAAATTAAAATTCAATCTATATTGTATAGCCATGAATCTTATCCTTGTATCTCAATATCTAATAATGAATAATTNGCTAACTGATTTCATATGGCATAAGATTGTAACAAGAGTTTTCTCATAAACTTTGAATTTCATTTTGTCTGGAACCGATGTATTCACAACGTCGAATTTTCTTGATAAAATTGATATGTGGCATAGATTTTCATACATGGTTTTAATATTCCATTGTTCAATAAATCAATGAAAAAAGAATCATTTTTGTTGATTAATCTATCAATTCAAATATTGAAAACTTTCCATTTAATTATTACGTTGAATGAAATCATTTTGGTTAGTTTCATCACTAATCTTATGCATGTTTCAAATATAAAATGCTTTAAATTCTCTATTTTAACATCTATCTAGGTTAATATTTACTAGTAGAATAGGTGTACATTTACTTTTTTGCAATGCTATATTAAATAAATACTTATAAAACACGATCTAAATTTTCGTCTATAGGTAATACAATTGCAACAGACGTATCTCTCTTGGTCTTATTTCAATATGAATAGCAACATTTCATCAATGATTCACTACTGAAAATTGCCAAGTTGAAGAATATTTTCATCTATTTAATAATCCTGTCAATGATGCATTCGATTCGATATCGCATAAATAAGTAAATATTAATTTATTTAACAAGATTAATGCAAAACATCCTCTTCTCTTGTTTTTCTCTTTTATTACAATATTTTACACATTTTTTTATCATCACCATGATACTATAAACAGTAATGAGTATAACAAGAGCTAGCCAATACAAACATAAATATTTTCCATCATCATACTGTCGACTATTTCTAGGCAAAAAAGAAGAAATCTAAATACTATTAAATTTTAATTTATTTATAAAGAAAACAAAACATAATTTATGCAGATTCTTCTCTTTTTTTTCAAGACCTAATCAACAAAATATACCAAGTTCTACCATAATAGAATAATTAAGATGGCAACACAGCTAGTTGTCAACGTTGCGATGCTTTATTTTTATCTATTCTTATTAATTCAAAGAGAGAAAGAAAAAATAACGCTGAGCGACGTTTTCCGACGGTATTTCTGACGTTTAATCATCGGCTATTCTTCTCACCTAGACTTTTAAAAACCCTTATTAGACTATCTTTTGTTTGTCAGTTGAATCAAAAAATAATTCTACAAGAATGAACAATACTTTCGCTTACTACAAGACTGATCTACTTCAAACATCGAATGGTATAAACTATTTTTTAAATGGCGATTGTTGTTGTTACTACTGCGAGTATTCATAACATTTATAATAAAATACATCTGTCGTAGAACATTTTTTAATGTAGTTTTTCTTTTACATTGTAGACAAATTTTTCTCAGAGAATATTATGCAAAGATGATCAATGAAGACATTTATATACAAAGATTGAACGAATCATATAAAAAATCTCAAACAAAATAAAATGACGATTGATGAAGTTGACAGAAAAAAAGCAAAAACAACTGAAACAGATGAAAACATGGCTACTGTCATATAGATCATCGAAGATGTCTGTGTTGCTAATAAAAGATCTTATTTCAAAGAAATCAAAACAAAAAATGATTTTGTTTTATAAACTATACTTCTTCTGAGAAGAGAGCTGTTATTTATGATTCAAATTACACCCCATAATAGATATAAAGAAGCAGAATCAATAATAAAAAAAAACACTTTTTTTTAAATCTTGAATTAATAATTTAACATTTGCCTCAGAAATAGAAGTTTTTAACATCAACAAGTGTTAATTTAGTAACAAGATTTAATGTCAAAATATTTAGTTTAAGCATTTTGTTAAATAGTGAAAATTCATAAAAACAAAGAAAAGCTATCGTAAGATTTATCTAGAGATTATTAAAGCAATTTAAAAAACACTTACATGTGTCTCATATCATATGATTTTATCCCTCGTCAAGAAAACAAAACATGACTAAAACATACTTTCATTATTCAATATTAATAGTAACTAAAAATTCATAAAATCTTGAAGGTGATTGTGGGTGTAGATGATGCTGAGGCTGCTGCTAGGATGTGACTATCACGTCTTGGATTTGAAAGGTAGTTTTCCGGTCAGGTTTAAGTTCTGGGTGTTATCAGGAGTGCGTGATATCTCTAGTCGTGTCATTGATTCTGGATGCGGATTGCTTTCTGGCTTATGAATCTTTTATATCTTTACGTATAGTCATGTGGATACCCTTACTGGGAGCTTTCTGGGCACTACGATAGAAACTATAATATCAAAGTTCATAGTGTAAATTCTTCGAATTGATTTCCGAATTAGCAATGCTAAACTCTGAGAGATATTACAACATTTTGTCCTGCGACCATTTGCCCTATCGCCATCTTTTTTTATATTTGATATCATTAAAGACTTTCATACAGTGTACATATATATCCTAAGAGCGCACAAAAAAACAATTGCAGAGCTATAATTATTCATTAGTATAAATTCAAAATATTTTTAATCTGTTTGCTTTACTTTTCGTCCTTAAAAACAATCATTTACTTAGTTAAAATATGATGAATATTATATGTACGATTAGAGAAGGGTCAGAATGTCTTACATTTAAAACATAAGGAAAATAACAACACTAACTATTACTATGAATTGATACTAATTCTCCACAAATGAACATTGTCTATTGCATCAATCATATATAATACCCAGGTCAATGATTCCGGAGGACGGATACTGTAGGAACCGGCCGGAAAGATGTGGAAAAATCACCGTATCTGGCCGGAAAGCACGGGAAAGCACTGGAAACTGGAAGCAGTATTCCAGTTGGAAGTTACCGGATTTTTTTCCTGTGGATTCCGGTCAGTTTCCTGTGTTTTCCGGTCAGTTTTCTGTGTTTTACATCTGGAAGTTGATCGGAATCTACAGGAAGAAAATCCGGTAACTTCCAACTGGAATACTGCTTCCACTTTCCAGCGCTTTCCTGTGCTTTCCGGCCGTTTCCCGCCGTACGTCCACGACCTGGGATAATGCAGATTTCATCAAAGAGCAAAATTGATCTTTACGCTACCCGTACTCTTAAATTTCAAGAAAATATCAATAACAAAGATAGCCAAAAAGACTAAAAAAATGTTATATATTTTCTTTTCAACATATTAATTCAATGATCTTATGATTTTAATTCTTTAATAATTGCAAAACATAAAATTTAATCAAATCAAATAAATCGACTAATTGGAATAAAGACATTTTGTTTGTAAAAATTATTGGGCTGTGTACGTTAATAAATAATTAATGAAAATTGCATTATGATCTAGAACATGAGAGAAATTAGCAAAATTTTATCTACTGTTGAAAATATACAGCAACAGAGATATGCAAAATATTTCTTCTGTAATTTCCTAATCCTATTTCAATCTACTTATAACCAAAAACATGATTTACACAGCTTTCTATTTTCTTCATTCAAGTAATGACATTTTTTCAACATTCTTCAATCTCTAAGAATCGAGGCCAAAAATGACTTATCAATGAAATGACAGAAAAGAAACACATCAAAAAGATTTCAAAAAAAACTCTCACTCCGTCATATCCTCTCAGCCTACGTTCCCTGCTGTTTTACTAACGCTTCGGTGGAAACTGTTCTCTTTTCTCTGTTGTCATTATCTTTAAACATCAGCGAACAATATCCGACTGACTGCCGTAAAGAAAAAGCTATCCTCGGATGATGAATGAGCAAAAAGGAAAAAGGAAAAAGATATTTTCACGGGAAAAATATCATCTCGAAGAGACTCCTTACAAAAACATCTCATTTTCCTACCTACTAGACATATTTACAGAAAGCATCGACGCACAACACAGTGCATTTTTTTCTCTACAGCTACTTTCAACAAGCCAAGTCTACAAAAACAAATACAATGTAATACTCTGTCGATAATTTCATTCACACGGAACGATCTCACACAATCAGCAGCAACGTCATCAATTTCTCCTTTGGACTAAATATTCTACTAAATCGAAGTCATCGCTCAAATTTTCGTAGCGATCATCAATGGTTGCCTTGAAAACACTATTAATTGGAGGAGCTGCTTTCGCCGGCATCTCCACAATAACAATAGTATTAGGACTCATTCCCGTCTACACAAGAGGCAAGACTCCCGATGTCACCACCGCCGCCACAACACCAACAACAGCTGGTGGAACTACTATAACCACGAATGCAGCTGGTGGCACAACAACTACTACTGTTGGTGGAACTAGTACAACAACGACTACCACTGCTGGAAGTACTGCAACAACGACTGGAGCTAGTGGAACTACTACAACCACGAATGCAGCTGGTGGCACAACAACTACTACTGTTGGTGGAACTAGTACAACAACGACTACCACTGCTGGAAGTACTTCAACAACGACTAGAGCTAGTGGAACTACTACAACCACGAATGCAGCTGGTGGCACAACAACTACTACTGTTGGTGGAACTAGTACAACAACGACTACCACTGCTGGAAGTACTTCAACAACGACTAGAGCTAGTGGAACTACTACAACCACGAATGCAGCTGGTGGCACAACAACTACTACTGTTGGTGGAACTAGTACAACAACGACTACCACTGCTGGAAGTACTTCAACAACGGCTGGAGCTAGTGGAACGACTGCAACTGGTGGAACTTCCACAACAAATACTGGAGCTGTTGGAACTACTATAACAACGAGTGCAGTTGGTGGTACGACAATTAGTGGTACAGCAAGCACTACGACTGTGTCTACGGAAAGGATGACTAGCACTACTTCATTGATCAGTACAGCTACAACAAGCCCTACAACAACTGAAACAAGTTCAGCCACAATCTCAACCACGATGATTGCGACAAACACAACCGTCACAACAACAACGGCTCCAACCACGACCACCACAGTCACTCCAACCACGACGACCACAATGATTGCTACAACAACCACTATGACTCCAAGCACCGCAACCACAATGATTCCTACAACCGCAACTATGGCACCTGCAACCACAACCATGGTTCCAACGACGACAACCACAATGATTCCGACAACTACAACTATGCCTCCTACAACCACAACCACGGTTACAAAGACGAC